TCTCTTTAGTAAAAAAACAACAAAATTTAATTCTGCTGATTCTGTATTTTCAATCATTTTTTTAATTTAAACAAAATTGAATACGAAAACTGTACAAGCAGTTGCCCATATAGTGAGAATTCCACTGTATTCATAATAGGCAATGTGCATGACCTTCAAAAGGTTATACATCCTCATATTTTCTGGGGGAACAAATTTACTTTCAATGAGAATTCTCAATTACTTCAAAGAAAATGCATGCAGTTGTCATAGAAGTTCAAAACATTGTTAAACATGAAAACAATGTATACCGATAATACTGGGAAATTATTGCTGTCAGAATTAGCAGGATGTGTACACTACAGTGGTCATGTATAAACAGATAATGAATACACTTACCTGTACAATGACACTACAGTGGTCATGTATAAACAGATAATGAATACACTTACCTGTACAATGACACTACAGTGGTCATGTATAAACAGATAATGAATACACTTACCTGTACAGTGGTCATGTATAAACAGATAATGAATACACTTACCTGTACAATGACACTACAGTGGTCATGTATAAACAGATAATGAATACACTTACCTGTACAGTGGTCATGTATAAACAGATAATGAATACACTTACCTGTACAATGACACTACAGTGGTCATGTATAAACAGATAATGAATACACTTACCTGTACAGTGGTCATGTATAAACAGATAATGAATACACTTACCTGTACAGTGGTCATGTATAAACAGATAATGAATACACTTACCTGTACAGTGGTCATGTATAAACAGATAATGAATACACTTACCTGTACAGTGGTCATGTATAAACAGATAATGAATACACTTACCTGTACAATGCCAATTATTAAGAAATAAAAATTTGCAATTCTTCTAAATTGTTCAAATAAGTTTTTAGGTAGGAAAGTTAGTATTGTATACTGCAAGAGAATTAAAAAATGTTGTTAATTATTTGCATAAGGGAAGTGGTGGGAAACACAATGACTATCACAATGTTTGCATTAATATGACAAATATGAGAATAATTTCTGTAAATGATTATATGGACATTTATGTTTGCAATAGGCCATGTTCAAAACACTAAAGATCTAGACATCTAGTTTCTACAAAGTAAATACACCAGACCACTGACCTAGGTGTGATAGTACCAATAAGACCACTGACCAAGCCAGCATATTGACAGCCAGACCATTGACCTGGCCAGCATAGTGCCAACTTGACCTAGCCGCCATATTGACAGCCAGACCACTGACCTACATTTGTAGTCGGCATATTGACAGTCAGACCACTGACCTATCAGCATAGTGCCAACTTGACCACCGACGTGGCCGGCATATTGACAGCCAGACCACTGACCTAGTTGGCATAGTGACAGCCAGACCTTTGACCTAGCCAGCATAGTGTCGTCTAGACCACTGACTTAGCCAGCATAGTGCAAACTTGACCACTGACATAGCCGACATATTGAAAGCCAGACAACTGACCTAGTCGGCATAGTGACTGCCAGACCTTTGACCCAGCCGGCATAGTGTCATCTAGACCACTGACTAGGCAGCATAGTGCAAACTTGACCACCGACTTAGCCAGCATAGTGCCAACTTGACCACTGACTTAGCCAGCATAGTGCCAACCTGACTACCGACTTAGCCAGCATAGTGCCAACTTGACCACTGACTTAGCCAATGCAATGCAAGTGTTGGATTACCAATGCAAGTGTTAGATTATCAAGTGTTGGATTACCAATGCAAGTGTTGGATTACAAATGCAAGTGTTGGATTACAAATGCAAGTGTTGGATTACCAATGCAAGTGTTGGATTACCAATGCAAGTGTTGGATTACCAATGCAAGTGTTGGATTACCAATGCAAGTGTTGGATTACCAATGCAAGTGTTGGATTACCAATGCAAGTGTTGAATTACCAATGCAAGTGTTGGATTACCAATGCAAGTGTTGGATTACCAATGCAAGTGTTGGATTACCAATGCAAGTGTTGGATTACCAATGCAAGTGTTGGATTATCAATGCAAGTGTTGGATTACCAATGCAAGTGTTGGATTACCAATGCAAGTGTTGGATTACCAATGCAAGTGTTGGATTACCAATGCAAGTGTTGGATTATCAATGCAAGTGTTGGATTATCAATGCAAGTGTTGGATTATCAATGCAAGTGTTGGATTATCAATGCAAGTGTTGGATTACCAATGCAAGTGTTGGATTATCAATGCAAGTGTTGGATTACCAATGCAAGTGTTGGATTATCAATGCAAGTGTTGAATTACCAATGCAAGTGTTGGATTATCAATGCAAGTGTTTGATTACAATTGCAAGTGTTGGATTACCAATGCAAGTGTTGGATTACCAATGCAAGTGTTGGATTATCAATGCAAGTGTTGAATTACCAATGCAAGTGTTGAATTACCAATGCAAGTGTTGGATTATCAATGCAAGTGTTGGATTACCATTGCAAGTGTTCGATTACCAATGCAAGTGTTGGATTATCAATGCAAGTGTTGAATTACCAATGCAAGTGTTGGATTATCAATGCAAGTGTTGGATTACCAATGCAAGTGTTGGATTACCAATGCAAGTGTTGGATTATCAATGCAAGTGTTGGATTATCAATGCAAGTGTTGGATTATCAATGCAAGTGTTGGATTACCAATGCAAGTGTTGGATTACCAATGCAAGTGATGGATTACCAATGCAAGTGTTGGATTACCAATGCAAGTGTTGGATTACCAATGCAAGTGTTGGATTACCAATGCAAGTGTTGGATTACTAATGCAAGTGTTGGATTATCAATGCAAGTGTTGGATTACCAATGCAAGTGTTGGATTATCAATGCAAGTGTTGAATTATCAATGCAAGTGTTAGCTTATAAATTTCGTAAGTTCAACACGTATTGAAAAAGTTGCAAAAATTTAATGGTTTACTCTATGTTACTGGATAAGAGTAAATTACAAAGTGTTTATTGAACGCCTTTGTGTTCATGTAAATTAATGCATGTGTTCAGGCCGGCTGTGTCATAGTGAGACCAGCTGTTCAGCCAAAATTTCATTGTTTCCTCGGATTGGTGTGGTATGATTCAGCAAATTATGTTCTATTCATGATTACAATTGTGATCCTTGATGCTTAGCATAAAAATTATAATGAAAATACCAAAACTATGGAACACAATGAGCTATAACTGCAAGTTCATCCAGTTACAACAGTTGATGATAGTTAAGCTGATGAAGTACATGACATAACTCACCGACTGTAAAAATTTAGCTCTTAGCACATGTACATGTACAACAAGTCACTTGTCAATGACTTAGTTCCCATTTGTATTATAGGCATAAGATATCGCACTACTACAGAGACGATATCGATAATACCAACCCACATGTATGCAATTTTGATCCATTTTGGCCTCAAAATGGATGTCATTTTGGCCTTAAAATGGATGCCATGTTGAATCGGATCATGAAACAAACTCACACGTGCAAGTCTAATATAATGTCTAATGTATGTGTAAATTATGAATTTGATGGGTCCAAGCATGTACAAGAAACTGCTGGATACATACATTGTATGGATAAACACATACATGCATGCACACAAGGAGGTCAATCTACATTGTATAGGCCTCTTCTTTCAGACTGTGTCCAAACAGGGGATAAAAATACATGTGAAGTGCTTACTTGTTTTGTTTTAATTAAAATCAAAGAAAGCTTAGAAAGAACTCCCGTGTGCTGAGAGTATTGGAGACACATTAAAAATTAATTCAAAATTACTTGAACTTGAGATATTGATGGAATAGCTGAAAACTAATTATGCAAATAAGGTAACTAATATGAACAGATTTAGGTGTAAAACTAATAAGGTCTGCACAATGTAAAAGATTTTCATAATATAATATCTATGTACCAAGTTTCATTGAAATGTGATTAGAACCAACAAAATATTAATTATTATGCTAATTAGTGAATTAATATGAACAGATTTTAACCCAAAATTATTCAGGCTGCCTATTATCCTAGAGCATTTATGTACCAAATGTTATTCAAATGTGATGATCAGTACTTGAGATACAAGTATTAATTAATTAATTAATTATGTTAATTAGGTGATTAAGAAGCATAAATATTTACCAAAACCTAATATGGTGTATAGTCCTAGATTCATTGAAATGTGGTGATGAATACTCTTTAAAAGTGTCATTAAAATCCAATGAGTAGTTCTTTAGATATCAGTGCAACAGCCATG